TTTGTGCCTCAGTTCCCTCATTTGTAAGTGAAGGGTTAGATGACTCCTAAGGTCACTTACTGCTCAAAACCTATGATGCTATGATATAATATTGGATGAGAAGAATCTATCATTGTGAAACAGATGGGAGAGAAGTGAGAAAAAATGTAATTCCTGACAAGCCAGTTCCAAAAAAGAGTTAATTCAGCCTTTTCCCTTCCTGAGGACCTTAGTCGATCCTATAGATGTTCTTTTTAAAATGCTCTTTCATTGTTTGAAATACATTGACAGACTTTTCCCAGTTGGCAAGTTGATGCCTGCAGGCTGGGAGGCAGCCTTTGAAAAGCAAGGACATCTTGGGTGGGAGTGGAGGGCTAGGTGAGGTGGGGGGAATAGTGTAGGGATTCCCTCTATGAGCCCAAAATACATTGAGAAAAAAGGACGATCATCCTTCTGTCTATCATATGCTAACTACCATATTGTGGTTGTGAGTTCTTTCCACTTTGTCCCTTTCTTCTTCTTCACATCAGCTACACTGATGGACCACTCACTTCAAAGGGGAAACAGTGTTTCTGAAATGCTCTAGATTTCTCTCCTATGTAACAGGGAAAATCCAGTGGTACTTCAACAAGAAGCTACTTGAAAAAACCTCTAGCTACATTAAGGTTGAAAAGTCTGGACAGTACCAATGTAGGATCCAGGATTCACCTCTCAGTAATCCTGTATCCTTGAGTATTTTAAGAGGTAAGGGAGCAAGTCTGGGCCCCCACAAAGAGATGAGAAAGTGCTTTCCTCTACATCTTTGCAGAAATTATAGTTCGTAGGTATTGAAATATTACATATAACATCAAACTTTTTCAACATGTTGATTAATTTTGCTGAATTTGGTTTTTCTTCCTCTTTTTAAATTCTTTAAATGTAGGTGATGTAGAAATAGAAAATACCAATAGAAATCTATTAAGTCTTTAAATTTTGGTTTCAGTTCATCTAAGGACTCAGTTCCCCCATCTCAGTCTTGCTCCAGGCTGGGGGCCAAATCTCCATGACTTCCAGGTTTAGGTTTTGCATGTTAATGTTTCCTGGACAGGGGACTGGTGATCAGCTAGAAGTCTTATAGGACAATAATGGAGTATCCCCATTTTCAGGACCTTCTTTCCCCATACCTGGTCAGGCAAGCATCTATCTTCTCTCCACTCCTTGCTTTGGCCTTCAGGGTGTTAATATTCACTTTCAGGTGGTTGTGGGGTAACATTTTGGTCCTCCACTATGAACAAACATACACAGAGAAAATCAGAACCTCTGTGCACCAAAAGACATTCCCTTAAGTAACATAGTGGTATGGGATAGGACTCATTTCTTGATTAAGAGTATAAAAATTGGGACAGCTAGGTGGCACAGTGAATAGAGCACCAGCCCTGAATTCATGAGGACCTGAGTTCAATCCGGACTCAGACACATGACACTCACTAGCTGTGTGACCCTGGGCAAGTCACTTAACCCCGATTGCCTCACCAAAAAAAAAAAGAGAGAGAGAGAGAGAGAGAGAGAGTATGAAAGTTACAATTATAGGCTGTACTGGACCCTCAGTTCCCTGGCAGTGATTAAGTGATACTTTTAGAATGGGATGGTTTTCCTCCATAACCACAAGCTCAAATGATCACAGATCTATCCTGCAAGCATCCTAATTTTTCTTGGAAATAAAATTATGACTCTATTGCCCTAAACCTTCTCGAAATATTTAACAACAAGGGGTCCCATCCATCTCTGGAGTTATGCACTTAGTTCCTACATTTACAGAACCAGGTAGTCCTCAGATTTTCAATCACTCCACAGATGATTCTACAGGTGTTTGTAAGAGGGCAGTCACTCCAACCTGGAGAGGGAAGAAGTCTGAGCTTTATGGGAAACATAAAAGACATTTTAAAAACTGACACCATTACAGATTAAACCTCAGGCCATTCTCAGAGATATGCCCAAGCCATTCTTTCCAGTAGATGAAAAATCAAAAGACCCAAAGGAGAGGTGTCAGGAGTAGGCTAAGTGACTGATGTCTCCTTCTCTCTCATACAGATGAGCTCATTTTACAAGCCTCATATCCTGTGTTTGAAGGAGACTCACTGGTTCTAAGATGCCTCGAAAAGGAGAGAAAAAAACTTACTGAAGTGACATTTTATAAGAATCAAATGGCTCTTACTAGTTTTAAAAAATACTCAGATTTCTCTATCCCAAAAGCAACTTTAAATGATAGTGGCCAGTATCACTGCAGTGCAAAGAAGTCATCAATTTGGTCATGGCTGGCAAGCAAAATGGAAACAAGAACAGTAACAATCCAAGTCCAAGGTAAAGACTTTCAGCCCCATAGGTTTGGGTTGGAGCAGAGTCTATGAGGGCATGAGAGGGAGGGATTGGCAAGGGGGTGAGATGGGTTGTCTTTGGATCTCATGGGCTGACCAAGGATTAGAATTCTGGGGCATCACGGGGTTGACTCGGTGGGGATCAGGTTAAGTGTTACTTGGATAGCAGAAACTAAGAAAGAAAAATATGACAAAAGAAGGATTGTGTTCTTTAGCCTAACATTGGGTTTGCCATTTGTTATGCTGAAAATTCAAGGCTTGCCTCCCCAGGATCTCTGAAGTTCACTTCCCTGGAAACTGTCTTATCTTTTCTCTCTAGAGTTGTTTTCAGTTCCCATACTGAGAAGTACAACTTTACAGCCCTCAGAGGGGACCCCCGTGACTCTAAGTTGTGAGACCCAGCTCCGTCCAGAGAAAGCAGATACCCAGCTACATTTCTCCTTCTTTAGAGACGGCAGAATCATCTTGTCAGGCCAGAAAAGAACCCCAAAACTCCAGTTCACCAAAGTCTGGCAGGAAGACTCCGGGTCTTATCTCTGTGAGGCAAAAACAGTAACATCTGGGATCTGGAAAAGGAGTCATCCAGTTAGGATCGAAGTGAGGAGTATGTGTCAAAGAGAGATCGAATAGGTCTAGGGTTAAGAAGAGGGAGGCTGGGTAAATGACCTCATGCATTTTGAGACCTCTTCTGTGCTATTCCCATTCATAATAATAATAATAATAATAATAATAATAATAACAGCTAACATTTTTATTGTACCTACTACATGCCAGGCACTGTGCTAAGCCCTTACAAATATTATCTCAGTTGTTTCACTCAACAACCATGAGAGGTAGGTGCTATTCTTATCTCTGTTTTACAGATGAGGAAACTGAAGCAAACAAGTCAAGTGACTTGCCCAAGGTCACACAGCTAATAATCGTCTAAGTACAGATTTGAACTCAGGTCTTCCTGACTCCAAATCCTGCACTCCACCACTCAGACCATTTAGCTGCTCCATTATCCCTGTGGTAATGGGTAGTGACAACTCTACCAGAGAGATGGGCTACCTATTGGTTGGGGCACAAGGAGTGAAGAGAAAATGAAGCGATTCTTTAAAAAAAAAAAAAGAGCTGCAGGCAGCATTTTCCTTCCCACCTCAAGATCTCCAAGGCTTATGATGTCCTATAGGCTTACCCTTCCCTGGCACATCATTACCTTGGCTAGGACAGGGTGTAGGGAGGTGAGTCTGAGGGAAGAGGAGGGTGAGAGCTTGGCTAGAGATTTAGGTGATGACTTCTACTCAGAAGTATAGTCAAATCCCCAAGGCACAAGGTCACTGACCCCTTAGAGTGGGACATCTAGAGAGTCTGGCATCTGGAAATGGGGAGGTCTATCATAGTCACAAGGAGATGGAACTTTGAGAACAGATGAACTTGGTTTGCATTTGCTACTGTTCTTCCCTATCCCTTTAAAACAGAATGAGCTGCCCATCAGGACTTCCAGAGAAATGCCCCCAAAGCTGCCCAAGAAACAATCTGCTTCTGTATTCCTGGGGGTGGGAGAGAGGTCAGAAAGAGCTGAGCTCCTAAAATGGGACACTGTTAGACTAGATAAAATTTAAAAGTTCATGGGTCAGAAATATAGATTCACCTGGGACCACAAAAAGTCAGTGTCTCAGGATTTAGAATTTTTAAGAGGCCCTAGAGGTGATCTAGTCTAACCCTCTCATTTTACAGATAGGGGAACTGAGGCCCAGACTGGAGAAGGGACTTGACCCAAGCACATACAAGTAGTAAACTGCAAAGCTAGGATTTCCACCCAGATACTCTGATTTCGAATTCAATGCTATTACACCTAAACCAGACTTTGTCCCTTCATTTTTTTAACTATTGACCTACATCACCTGCAATGATCTGTACTCACTAACTTGAATTCAAACAGCATTTATTTTACAATCACACAAGTAGCCACCATTAGCCTCGCCTTCCACAGCCTCCTCAGATCTGAAGTGTCCGAGGATCAGGCTCCTTATACTTTACTTCATTTTCACCCAGGAGTGCCTGTCTCTGGAATCCATCTGGAGACCCAGCCCCCTGGAGGGCAAGTGACAGAAGGGAAAACGCTGCTCCTCCTCTGTTCAGTAGCCAGAGGCACAGGTGACATCACATTCTCTTGGCACAAGGAGGGCCCTGAAGCAATCCTGAAGAAGAAAACTCAGAGGTCACTAGTGGCAGAGTTTAAAATATTGGCTATGAGAGAGAGTGAAGCTGGGAAATATTACTGTGCAGCTGACAATACCAACAGTCCACTACGGAGTAGACCAGTGAGCATCTCTGTGAAAAGTAAGTATTATATCCCTTTCTTCTGCTCCTTAGTAATAATACACACTTATCTCATGCTGTGAGGTTTGCAAAGTGCTTTCCTCACTAGAGCCCTGCGACATAATTATCTTTATCTTACAGATTGTTTGTAGAACTCATTTTACAGATGAGGAAATCGAGATTTAGAGGAGCAGGGTAAATTGTTGACGGTCATACAAGAGAATAAATGTTGGCAATGAGATTTGAACCCAGCTCTCCCCCGATGCTGAGGATAGGGCTCTTTCTGTTAATTACATACTATGCTATTCATTGTCAGCTAATGTTTTCTGAATTGGTTTCTTGGATTCCCTTCAGAGATGAATCAGTAGTATATGGACTGGTGTCCAAAGATTTCACAAAAATCAGAACTGTAATTAAAGGTGTCAGTAACAAATTGTAGTTTGTTGTGGAAGGATGGAGGATATGGCACAAGGAGGGATTATGGGAGCCCTTGGGGTAGAAGGGATAGTAAGAAAAAATAGTAGGATGCAGATTGAGAAGAGTTCTGGGCTGATGTCCAGGTGAGGCCTCTGAGAGAGCTAGGTGCAGGGCAAAGGAGACAGAAATCAGAACTGATGAGTGGGCTCCTTCCCTGCCCCAGATGCCTAGGGTCAGAGGGTCGTGAGTCACAGCTGCAGAAGTTCACCTGACTCTTGTCTTTTTCTCTCTCAGTTCCAGTCTCTCCTCCTCTCCTCACCTTCAGCGTCCCTGAGACACAGATGTTTGTGGGGAAGGTTGTGGAGCTGCAATGTGACTGTCAGAGAGGATCAGCCCCAATCCTATATCGATTTTATCACGAGGGTAAAGTCATGAAAAACAGCTCAGCCCCTTTTGGAGGTGCAGCATCCTTCAACCTATCCCTGACTGAACAACATGCTGGGAATTACTTCTGTGAAGCTGACAATGGTATAGCCATGCAGTCCAGTAAGGTGCTGACACTCTCAGTGAGAGGTACGTTGGCCCTTCCTGGTGGGAAGCCACATCCGGGTTAGATGGCACATCCCCAATATTGAACATCCCAACTATGGGGATCCAGGCCGTCCCCTGGTGGGGTGCTATGGTATCATGACAGGCTCCCTGGCTTCTCTGCCCCTCCCTGAGGAACTCAGACCCTGCTCCTATTTCCTACAGGTCGCCTCATAGTAAGAGGGGTGTTTGAAATGGGGAAAGTTAATCCTTTGATGGCATTATGACTTCATGAACTAGCTCCTACTTGAAGCTCATTGTAGGTCACTCTGGGCAGTCAATTTGACCCACAGGAAAGCATATTAATCTTTGGAAGCCACTTTATTACTGTTGTAAGCGCAAGGGTCAACTAGTAAGTCAGTGTAACCACAACTCAACAAAACCAACGTTTTATTGTTGTTATTGTTGTGGTTCAGTTGTTTTCAGTCGTGTCTGACTCTTTGTGACCCCATCTGGGGTTTTCTTGGCAGAAGTACTGGAGTGGTTTGACATTTCCTTCTGCAGTTAATTTTACAGGTGAGGAAACTGAGGCAAACATGTTCTGGAATGCCACAAGAATTGCTTTATAACACAAGTGTGGTATAAACATTCCTCATAATACAAATAGGGGCAGATAGACAAACTTTCTAAACACCATCTTTATTTGAATAGACCAGTGTATAGGGTCTAATCTGTAACAGCAAAACAAAACAAAGCAAAATAAAACAAAAATGACCTCGTAACACTCAGGAAGTTATTTTATTTATTTATTAACAATTTATTAATTGGTTTTAACAATGATAGTTTTTGCATTTCCTTTGCTTATAAAGATCTATGGATTATTAGACCTAAAAAGGATTTTTAGAGATAATGTAACTCACTACCTTCTTTTCACAGGAAAAAAATTGAGTCTTGGAGGAATCAAGTGACTTGTCTAAGGTCTCACAGCTGATTAGTGACAGAATGGGGACTAGAACACAGGATTTGCAACTCTTAGTATCTACACAATAGGTACAAGGATAAAATAGACTCTAGTTTAGACAATGAGTCTTACAGAGGGATCCCTTCATTTTGGATGCCTCTGACCAGCCATACATACTCATCCCATTCCCAGCCCTGGTTCTTCTCTCCCTGGCTTCCCAAGAAATTTCTGCTTTCTTCTTTCTTGCCACTCTTTCTACCTGAGGCCCAGGCTGAAGCTCTCCTGATCTCCACACCCAAACAGTAGTCTCTCTCTTCCGGGCCTCTATTCCTGCTTGTAGCAAACCCCTAACTATCTATAGAACAAATCACTTCTGTTTCCCCTGTTTTCTATGAAACAAATTGACTCAGTGATTTTATTCTTTCCTCTAACCACTCAATGATGCTTGGAATAACTGGGTTTCTTTCCCATTGATGTACTTTATCCCCATCATTCCCCTCATCTACATCTCCTAGAGTGTGCTTGCACAACATACAGCCCGCCGAAGGATTTTGGGTGGCTGTCACATGATCCGTGACAACCAACCATCATCAATCTGTCTAAAGAGAGAAATCCTTTGGTGGTCCACGGGCCATATGTTGTGCAGGCCTGTCCTAGAGCATCTGGTTACACGGCGAGGACCAGCACAGCATCACTGAGAGAATGCTGGACTGAGGGAGGGAACGTGGGCTCAGGTCCTGGCTCTGTCATTTCATCAAGGTGCCATTCTCTATATCTGTCACCTCAGTTTTAAAAAGGGGTGGGAAGGTGGCCTCTAACAGTAGATGACATTTCTATAGTGCTTTACATTCACCATCTCAGTTAAACCTAACAACAAAACTGCAAGGCAAATATTATACCATAGCAGCTACCATACCACCACCACCACCACCACCACTACTACTACTACTACTACTACTACTACTACTACTACTACTATCACTTACCACCACCGCTACTACTGTTATACCACCATCACTATTACTATTACTACTATTACCACTACCACTACTACTACTACCACCACCACCACTACTACTACGACGACTACCACTTACCACCACCACTACTGCTGCTATACCACCATCACTATTACTATTACTACTATTACCACTACCACCACTACCACTACCACTACCACTACTACTACCACCACCACCACCACCACTACCACCTCTACTACTACTACTACACCACCACCACCACCATCACCAATAATACTGCTGCTACTGCTGTTGCTGCTACTACTGCTACTATTACTACTTCAGAGGTGAAAAACTAACCAGCAGTAGTTTTATGTAGCCCACAAAACTCCCTAGTGCAGCCAAGTCAAATTAAAATGTAATCGGGAAATGTTTAACAAAATAAATAAAAACATAATACAACACAGATAGTGTTAATTAGTGATTTTCCACTGTTTTTGGTTTGACACCTCTGCAGTATACCATGCTATCTGGAGAAGAGGATCATTAAGCCCCGGCTACAATATTAATTTAGGGCAGCTAGATGGCGCCATAGTGCACAGAGGGCATAGAGTCTGGAGTCAAGAAGACTCCTCTTAACCGAGTTTAAATCTGACTTCAGACACATTAGCCGTCTGACCCTGGGCAAGTCACTTAACCCTGTTTGCCTCAGTTTCCTCATCTGTCAAATGAGCTGGAGAAGAAAATGGCAAACTACTCCAGTATCTTTGCCAAGAAAACCCCAAATGGGCTCCATGAAGAGTCAGACATAACTGAAATAACTAAACAATATAATAACAATAATGGAATAATTGGAAGAGGAAGAGAAGAGATAATGGAGAAAAGCTGCTCGGGGAAGAGAGGAGCCCAGAGGAATATGGGATGACATTCATACCGAAGAACAATAAGATGTCAGAAGTGGAAGGGACCTCAGAGACCATCTCATCTACCCGTATATGAGCAGGCAATGTTCTCCACGTAGAGTCATCTAGCCTCTGATTTGAAGACCTCCAGAGACAGAGATCTCACAGTTTTGAAAAAACATAAAGCATCAGACTGATATGATAGTCTCATCATTGTGATACCTGGGATTTTTTTTCTCAGATCTTTGAGGATAGGTTCTGAAATCTAGGTCTGCATCCTAGGCAACAGGAGAACTAGGAATGGCCTTGGAGGGCATCTCCTTGCTTTTGTGGGACAGGTAGTAGTGCAGTGGATAGAGTGCTGGGCCTGGAGTCAGGAAGACTTGAGTTAAAATCCAGCCTCAGACACCCTGTTTGCCTCAGTTGCCTCATCTGTAAAATGAACTGGAGAAAGAAATGGCAAACCACTCCAGTACCTGCAAAGAAAACACCAAATGGAGTCATGAAGAATCTGAAATGTCTGAACAACAACCTTAGTTTTATTGATTATGTTTGTTCTTCCCTTTTTCTTTTAAAAAATATTCTTTGTTATATAAGACGACTCTCTGGGAGGGGGAGGGATATGGAAGAGATTTGGGTAATTTAGAAAAAAAAAGATTTTGTTTTGTTTTAATTTAAGGGCACATCCCTAATAGAAGTTCTTGAAACAAAGGGCTCATGTTTCTGAAGCTGAGATGCTGATTTCCATTATCTCCCTCAGTTCCAGTGTCCCGTCCTCTCCTTACCATCAGGAAGGCCACCGGAAGGGACATGGTAGAACTTCGATGTGAAGCTAAGACAGGCACAACACCGATCCTCTATCGGTTTTTTCACCAGGATATAATCCTAGGGAGTGGTTGGGCCTGCTTGGGAGAAGCTGCCTTTCTCAACCTCTCTCTGACAGCTGAGGATTATGGGATCTACTCTTGTGACGCTGACAATGGCATTGGTCCCCAGCTCAGTGAAGGGGTGAAACTCCCTGTCACAGGTATATAAGGAGGATTGGACCTGAAATCTCAAGGATGAACATTTGACCTCCTCCCAAGAGGGTGGGGTATTTCTCACAATGCCAGATCATGGTTCACTGTTTCTGAGGATAGGCCATCTGGGGATGTGCAAGGTTGAGTCCTTGGGGATCAGTGTTGTACTGGGTGATGTCACTAGGTAGATGCTGGGGAAGAAATGGCTCAGTAACTGGCTGCATCTGAGTCCCAAGGTCCCTTACCCCCACAAGATGATCACTTCACTAAACACTGGACAAATATGCAATATTACTGGGTCACTATAATGATAAAATTAATAATAATCTTGGTCACATTTCATCCCTGGCTTCACAATAAATCATCACTTCTCAAACCCAATCTCAGGACTCAGTTGCTCAAAAGAGAAGGGATATTTCCTATATTACTGAATATGAGCTGAATCAGGTATCCACCTGCCTAGCTCTAAGCCCAATTCATAAAGTTCCTGACCTTAGGTCTCTCTTCTCATGTTCTGAGCCATCAGGACTACTGGTTCAAGAATTCTCAGGCCTGCTCTCCCCACCCCTGCCTCACACCAGACTCTCTTCTCTCCATCCCTGCAGGGAAACAAAGGGGCCTGCTTGCTGGAGGAGTCAGCTTGGGCCTACTTGGATTCCTGGGTCTCATTGGTGTTGCTCTTCTGTTGTACTTCAGGACCCAGAGGAGATCAGGTTTGTAGGCCCTGATCATTAACCTGTACAGAATCCCTGTTTCCATCCTGCCTCATGCCCAGAGTGACTGTCACCTTGAGGCTTCAGACCCTCACTGAGCGACCAGTGCAGCACCAAGTGAAGAACAGAACAGATCAGAGATATACTGGTAAATGTTTAGCAACCAGATCTCTGAAAATTTTTTTAAAAAGCATGCAGGACACACTTTTAAATTTAATCCTTATTTTTAACATTTTATCCATCATTTTCTTGCCCAGACAATTAACAAAATAATAAATCAAGCCCTGATTTATAATTGATTTATAATGTTGGCAGATTTCTGAAGTATAAATATTTACACAAAAAATTTAATCCTAGCCCTCATTAAGAGCTGTCTCCAGCAAATCAGCAGAAATAACATTTATCCAGCTTTTTTGTAGGCAATCAGGGTTAAGTGACTTACCCAGAGTTACGTAGCAAGTGTCTGAAGTCAAATTTGAACTCAGGTACTTCTGACTTTAGAGCCCATGCTCTATCCACTGTGCTACATGGTGCTCCCTACTTTCTTATGAAGACAGCTGAACCTTATCACCCAGGCCATTAACTCACTGGAAATCCAGGCTTTTTTTTTTTTTTAAATACACAGGCCACTCTCCAGGTTCATGAGGATCACAGGAGCTCAAACAAGCTTCTAAATGCCCTTGTGGGCATTTCTTCCCCTCCACCCTGTCACAAATCAATCAAAAAAACTGATTGGTCTCAGAGAGCAGAATGAAGACCAGTGCACAGAAAATGCAGAGGCAGATTCCCACTTTTTATAAAGAAAATTTCCTAAACAATCAGAATTGACCAAAAGTGGAATAGGAATTGTGACTTCCCCATCAACAGTCAAAGTCAATAGACATTTATGAAGAACTTACTATGTGCCAGGTACTGTGCTAAGTGCTGGAGGTACAGATAAGAAAAGCCAAGACAGTTCCCACCCCTTCAAATCACTTGAAATCTTTGAGGAAAGGTTAGATGAGTATTTGTTGTGTATTTTGGAGAGAGAATTCCTGCTCAGGTATGAATTGGGCTAGATGGAGTAATGGATAGAGCTCTGGACTCAGAGTGGGGAAGACCTGAGTTCTGATCCAACCTTGGACACTTACTAGGTGTGTGATCCTAGGCAAGTCACTTCACTTCTGCCTGCCTCAGTTTCCTCATCTATAAATGGGGATAATAACAGTACCAACCTCCCAGGATTGTTGTAAGGATAAAATGAGGTATTTATAAAGAGTTTTACAAACTTTAAAAAGCTACACAAATGTTAGCTATTACTATAGTCTCTGGGTCTCTTCAAATTCTGATGCTGTATGAACCTGTGAAATATTTAGAGTATTTATCTTAGATCAGGCAAGGTTCTGTGAACACTTACCAGCTTACTTACTGTGGCCTTGTGTCTGCAGTCCATCACTGCCTGTCTCCATTGGCTGACTTCCAGCCCTTCTCAGAGACCAGTTGTCAATGAACTTCAGCATCTCCCTATCACCTTAAGCATCAAATGTCCTGTGTCTGGCATTTAACCCTCTTCCCAACTCGGTGCCTTCCTACCTTCCAGGCCTTCTTATACCTTACTCCCCTCCTCACACTCTGTGATCCCACTGTACTCAGCTAATTGCTGTTCCTCACACTTGGCACTCCTTCCATCTCCTGTCTTCGAGCTTCTGTATTGGCTGTTTTTCCCCAGGTCTGGAATGCTGGCCCTCCTCACCTTCTTGTCTTAGAATCCCTGGTTTCTTTCAAAACTCAGCTTAAGTCCCACCTACCCTGATTCCCTTGGCTACTAGTGCCTTTCCCTGTGATACTACCTTCCATCTGCTCTGTAAATATCTCATATGTACCTAGTTGTCTCTCCTATTAGACTCTCAAGGACAGTCTTTTTTTGTTTTTCTTTTTGCATTTCTTTTTATCCTCAGGGCTTAACCCAATGTGCCTAGCAATCAATCAATCAATCAATAAATAAGCAAACTTTTATTGAACACCTACTTGGCCTTGGCCCATGGTAGGTCCTTAATAAATGCTTGTGGACTGACCTGACTTCTCTGTTAGTGGTCATCTAGCTTACTCCTCAGCTTAAGAATATGCCATAAGATGGTTCTGACCTGTATGCTGACATCCTCCTCCGCCAAACACCATCCCTAGCTTAGGTAGAGAATCCTCTTTTGACCCATTTTCTCCCAAAACCCTTCAATTCAGAATCCAGCATACAGAGCTGACCTTGGGTTGGCCCTGGATCTCTGAGCATAATTTCTCAAGGTCACTTGCTTCGATTCCCCACAGATCTCCACTCTGAGGCAGGGACTCCCTTGCTCTTGACCTTACGATTTAATCAGGGAAGAAATTGGTCCTTGGTGGAAGTAGCACCTAAGGGCAGCTAGGTAGTACAGTCTATAGAGTGCTTGGCCTGAAGTCAGGAAGACTCACCAAATCTGGCCTCAGATACTTACTATGTGACCCCAGGGCAAGTCACTTAACCTTATTTGCTTCAGTTTCCTCATCCATAAAATGGGCTGGAGAAGGAAATAGCAACCACTCCAGTATCTTTGCCAAGAAAACCCCAAATGGTGTCACAAAAAGTCTGAAAATGACTAAATAAAAAGCACCAGGTCAAGTCACAGTCCCTGGACCTAGTCTCAAAGGCCCAAGATTTTATCCCTGTCCCCAACAAGAGGATAACAAGCATCTACCCCCTTCTTTTCTGGTGCATGACAATCCGTGGAGAATACATTTGTGTTCTCTGGTCCCTCTAAAAGAAGGAGTGGAACAAGGAAGAGGGGACAAGTGTAGGGAGCCCTAGGTATGAGCGATGCAAACTTTCCAAGCCAAATACCAGCTTTATACCATTACATAGTTTGAAAATCACCATGTGATCCATGGCTCAGAACTGAGAACTGACGCTCTGGTTATGCTTGGACTAGGTTCAATCTGTGGAGTTCTCTGTAAATATTCCCTTTGGCTCCTTCTCCCAGTCAGAGTTTCATCTGAAATTATCTGGCTTATATTTAGGGTTTCACAACAAAAGTTCTTAATTGTAGTATCGGCTAACACATATTTCTGTACGAAGTCCACAACAATAGCATAATCATAGCTAATAATAAAAAATAATGGCTAAAATTTTAATATAGTACTTTAAGATTTACAAAATTTTATACAGACAGATTAGATAGGTAGATAGATGTTGTTCAGTCATTTCAGTTGTGTCCAACTCTCCATGACCCCATTTTGAAGTTTTCTTGGAAAAGATACTGGAGTAGTTTGCCATTTCCTTCTCCAGCTCATCTTACAGATGATGAAACTGAGGCAAACAGGGTTAAGTGACTTGCCCAGGGTCACACAGCTAATAAGTGTTTGAGACCAGATTTCAACTTAAGAAGATAAAAGTCTTCCTGATTCTAAGCCCAGTGCTCTATCCATTGAGCCACCTACCTGCCCCGAGACTTTATATATATATATATATACACATATATATACACATATATATACATATATATACATATACATTTATATATATACATATACATTTATATACTTTACATATAATATTTCTATACTTTACATATAGTATATTTTATATACATATATGTGTGTACATATGTATGTATACCCACATACACATATATAAAATCATTATATATACATACATAGACACACACACACACAAATATATATATTTGATCCTCACAATACCCTTATGGGGAAGTGCTATTGTTATCCCCATTTTTACAGGTGAGGAAACTGAGGCTAAAAGAAGTTAAGTAATTTACTCAGGGTCCCACAGCTGGCAAGTATCTGAGGCCAAATTTGAACTCAGGGCTATTCCTGACTCTAAGTCCAGTACCCTGTCCACTGTGCCAACTAGCTGCCTCATGGATAGTATGTGCTTTGTTGAATTCACTGAAAATAACATCAATAGCATTGTTTCCTTCTACAAATCAGGTGATTGCATCAACAAAGAAAATAAGCTTACTCAAGAATGATATCTTCTGGATGAAACTGTACTGCCTCATGCAGCATGTGATCCCTGCTTCTTTTCCTTAAATTTCCACTAACTACATACCTTTAGCAACATATTCTAGAATTTTGCCAAGAATAGGGGTTAGAGTCCATGGTCTTGATTTTCAAACATCATTCCCTTCCCTTTTCTTAAAAAATAGATGCCCCCCCAAAAAAAAAAACCACTGCTGGAGTCCCCTTCCCATTCTCCAACTCTTTCAAAAATCACTGATCGTGGTCCAGAGTTCACATCTGCTAATTCTTTCACTAACCAAAGACCGTAGTTCATCTGGTCTACAGTCCAGACATATGAACTGGCTATGAATCAATCATTTTAATTGTGCCATTAAAGGGGCAGGGATGATATCCAGGGCCAGACAAGTTCTTACCTTATCAAAGAGTTAATTTTGTCAGGGAATTTAATATCTCATTAAGGAGAATAGCATAGATTCAAGAGAGATACACCAGGCATTTCTTGGGTACATCCTTCAGAGCAGAGATAACTAGGAAGGTATAATGAAAAGGACCTCAGCTCTGAGGTTAAAGGACCAGTGCTCACACATTGCTTCTGTAACTATTTGTATGACCTTGCAGAAGTCATATGATGATGATAATAATAGCTAACATTTATAAAGTGCTTACTATGTGCCAGGCACCGTGCTAAGTGCTTTACAATTATTATCTCATATGATCCTCACAACCACTCTGAGAGATCAGTGTTATCATTATTCCCATTTTACAGATAAGAAAACTGAGGCAAACAAGTTAAGTGACTTGCCCAGGGTCAAACAGCTAGGAAGTGTCTGTATCTGGATTTAAATCCAGGCCTTTATGACTTCAGACCCAGGACTCTATCTACTTTGCTATCATCATCATCATCATCATCATCAATAGTATATATAGTAAAATAAATAAATAGTATTTATATATCAGTTTAAGGATTTCAAAGAGTTTTATATATATTATCTCATTTGATAATAGGTGCCATTTGCCATTATTATCTATCTACCAAGAAGTTAAGTGATTTGCATGGGGCCACATAGCCCCTTGGGTACCTGTAGCAGGATTCTGGCTCAGGTCTTCTTGATTCCAAAGCCAGTGCTTTTCTCATCTGTAAGTCGAGGGAACTGGTCTAGTTGGCCTCCAGGGTCCCTTCCAGATCTAAATCTATAGATTCACAATGCTATGAACTTCACAATCTCCTGCAGTGCTGAGACCACCTTTGTATTTCCTGGCAGGGCTTAGCACAGGGTTTTGTGGATGGTGAGTGCTTAAAACTTTGTTTGAATCTGAATTTGTGCTTGTCAGAACTATCAACATGTCAGGGTATGATGGTGAAGTCCCCAAACACATCTAAGGGCCTCATTTAAATTCCAAGCTGCTAGCAGGTGAGAATCATGCCTTTCCCTTACTCCATGTCATCTTGGTTTAACCTAGCACAAGAAAGGATACAGGGCTCCATTTCCATGCTTTATGTGAGACTCTTACATTGCTGCACTCCCTACACTGACATCACCCAATAGAATGCAAGCCCCTTGAGGGCAAGGTGTCTGAATTCTTATTTTTGTCTTCACATACCCAGCTTAGAGAATAATGTCTGAGTTACAGTAGACACTTAGTGCTTTCTGATTGATTAACATTAATCTTCCTTTTCTTTGCAGGACAAAGTTTTGCTCTTGTATACTCCAGGCAAGTCCTTAGTCCTTTCAGTGTCTGACTTCTTGGCATTTGCTGGAAGTCCACAGTCCAGGAACATGGAAAATGCCATCTATGCCTAAGGCTACACCTATCCATTTCCTGATTTCACATGCTTTGGGATTTGTTGTTGTTCAGTTGTTACTATCATGTCTGACTCTTTGTAACCCTGTTTGGGGTTTTCTTGGGAAAGATGATGGAGTGGTTTTGCCACTTCCTTCTCCAGCTCATTTGACAAATGAAGAAACTGAGGTAAACAGAATTAAGCGACTTGCCCAGGGACACACAGCTAGGAAGTGTCCAAGACCAGATTTGAACTCAGGAAGAGGAGTCTTCCTGACTCCAGACCCAGTGTTCCACTCACTTCACCACCTACCTGCCCTCTATATTTTGGGATACTTAAAGAAAAGTCACTCACCAGCTAGGATATACAGTAACCCTCATGCTTATCCCCAAAACAGATTTGTTATTGATTTCCTTACTCAACTAAAATGTTCAGTGTTTGTCCACTTGATCTAATATTTGCATAGCAGCATCTCATCCACTGGGGCAGATACTGCATTCATTTATCAGGGTCTTAATATTGCAACCCTAAGCATTAATTTATGCCTTTCACAGAGGAGGAGGGGGAGGAGGAAGAGGTGGGAGAAAGAGGATGAGGGAGAGGAAGAGGGGGAGGAAGGGGAGCAGGAAGGAAGGGGGGAACAGGAAGGGGAGGAGGAGGGGGGAGAAGGAGGAGGGAAAGGGGAGGAGGGGGGGAAGGGAAGAGGGAAGGGGGAAAGGAGAAGGAGGAGCAGGACGACAGCAACAACATTGCCTAGTGAAGTGGTCAACTAGAGTGGCCGCCATGGCAATAGGACAAAGCAGTATTTTGTGACTAAATGACCATCACCCTCTGGTTCTGTCCTCAGGCTGCCTGCTTTGCTTGCCTAGCTTTGGCCACCATTGGTCCATCCCGCTACTCAACTGCTCCTCCTAAAAAGCCCCTTACTAACCACCACCAGCACAGATTCATGGGAGGTAAAACCCCATGAATCACACCAAGTTCTCTATGCCTCTCTGGTTGCTAATTTCCTGAAGCTCTGCGTCACCACACTCACCATCACCATTACCATCTCCTTGATGATCTCATTAATGTATAATTAGTGTTGTTATTATGCCAGGAAATATGATGTCTGTGTGTATCTCGCAGGAATCCTGCCATCCCAGGATCCCAAGAACGTGCTGAAGTGGAGCTAGAGCCAACATATGTCAATGGTAAGGACCATTCCCTTGGACAAGGGCTCCAGACCTGCACCCAGACAATTAGGAGGCAGATAGGAGAAGGGAACACAAACTATCTTGTTTGTTTAGCCTACTAGCTACCCTAGGTTTTGCCTCAGAGAACAGGACTTCTTGAGCACAGTTTTGTGAAGCAATCAGGTTTAATGGAAAGAGTGACACACTGGGAATCAGGAGAGACTTGAGTTTGAATTCCACCTCTGACACTTACTAGTATGTGACAATAGACAAATTAGTTAACCTCTCTGAGTCTCAGTTTTCTCCTATGTGAAATGGGTTTATTAATATCTATAATACCTCACAGGATTATAAAGATCAAAAGAAATAATGTATATAAAGTAATTTTAACTTTAAAGCACCATATTAATGTCAGCTATAATTATTACCTTTTTTTTTTTTGGCTAGGCAATGGAGTTAAGTGCCTTGCCCAGGGTCACATGGCTAGTAAGCATCAAATGTCTGAGGCTGGATTTGAACCCAGGTCCTTGTGACTCCAGGGCCAGTGCTCTATCCACTGCACCACCTAGCTGCCCCTATCATTATTACTTTATCGTGATTTCAATGATAAATCATATTTATCTAGTACTTTATGTTCCTTATCTGAAAAATTGGTTGATCACATCTGCATCACCTACTTCCCAGGGTTGCTGTAGGAAAGTTAATCAGCACCTTGGCCACTAGGTGGCAGATACTACATTCATCTAACCCTTTGTATCATAGTTCCCTTTGGCATTTCTTTACAGCACCATATAAAAGTGAAATGTTCTTATATGAGCTCACAATCCTAATATAAAGTGAACAGTATGACTTTTTAGAGAAAGTAGAGCAGGAATGGTCCTCATGGTTCATATAGTGCAATCCTATTGCATATCAATAAGAATATATAATATTAATTATTATTATCCTATTGCATATTATTATCCTATTGCATAAGAATAAGGATACTAAAGGTAAAACTTTAAAAGTCTTTGTGTCCATAGCACACATCTAATAAGTGTCAATGCCAGGATTTGAACCCAGGTCTTCTGACAGCAAGTCTAGTACTCTTTGTGCTGCCTCTCAATAAATATGGAATTTTCCTGAAATGCCCGACATCATGTTGGGGATGGAAGATATTTCAGGGTGGGCATGTGGAAGGATTTCATCTTCTGCTATAACGTAATAAATATAAATATTTAACTTCTGGCACATTCATCTGACCCTGCCTATAAAATCCTATTCTCACCTCTGGGCCCATCTACAGACCCAGGTCAGCAGTCCAGAACACACAACACAGCATTTGCAGACCTGGGACTTACAGTGAATCCTGTCATCAGGGATGTGGTGTATGCTGAGGTCTGGAGGTCGCAGCAAAAAGAAGAAGATGCAGGTGAGAAAATGGGATCTGGTTCTTCTGTTGAGTTGTGGCCCGTCCTATTTCATCTGGCATCCAAATCATGTTAGCCCCCTCCAGCATGGCCCCAGAGTTTCTTGGCCATCCTGCTATTGTCCGCTCTCTGCAGACAACCTGCTCAGCAGAATTGCCCAAGTATTCTCCTTGAGAGAACATTCTTTTTTTGTCTTTGCATCCTCAGCTCTTAGTAAAGTTCTTCACACATAGTAGATAATAAATGCTTGTTGACTCACTGATGTCCCTATTTATGGACTAGTGGATTGTCCGCATGATAAATTCTCATTGCTGTTGACCAGCAATATACTCTGCAGTACACCAAGCAACAACACCAGAAATACCTCAGCCCAGAATCGAGACTATTATCTATGGTAAAATTACATGTATACCAAAGAATTCTTTTAAAACAAATTTGTTTGTGTCTTGTTATCAGTAAATGTTTGCTTTGTATACCTATTTTATATACCTATATACCTGGGGTTGTATAAAAATTTCTTGGGCCAAAAGGGGTCACAAGAGGAAAAAGTGTAAGAAGCACTGCCCTAGTTCTAATGAAAGGGTATGACTGGGCAGCTATGCTAAACTCCTACCTCTGTAATTCGTATGTGGTATGAATTACCCAGCTTTCCCATTTAACCCTGAAACTCACTCTCCCCACACCTCCCTCCCACTTCTGAGATCCATCACACCTACCCTGTGGGGCTTTGTCTGAAGCATAGATGCCCCTCAGAGCGCAGATATCCTTCAGGTCTATGGTGATATTTCTCTGTCCAGAACAATGAGGAAAATGTCTTACAGATGAATGGCAGAGCTTTTGCCCCGAGAGGGTTCTCTATTTAATCTATGGATGCTACCAACTAGATGCAACCATTCTGCTAGTTTTCTGGGCCATGTGTTGGCAAATCCTCCCCTTAATTCAAATAAAACAAGGTGGGTTAAAAAAATACCTCCACTGAGGGAGAATTGGAGGCTGAAAGTGATGAGAAGAAAATCCAGTTGTTTTTTTTTTTTCCAAATTCTGTTTCCATTCCAAGTTTTTTACCAATCTAGGATCAAATAGTGGTTGACTTCTCACCAAGACTCAAATTGGGGCAGGACTTTCAGAGCCTCTGAGGTATAGTACCCTTCATAGGGGATAAGGGATTTACAGTTGGATGGGACTTTAAAGGTCACCTAGAGAAACCACCCCCCCCTCATTTTTTGGATGAAGAAAATGAGGTCAAGTTAAGTGCTTCACCTAAGGTCATATAGGTAATAAATAGCAGAGACGGGCTTTGAACCTAGGCCTTTTGCCTCGAAATCAAGACATCTCTTTACCATACTATGAAAAGGAACCCAAAAAACTGTTTAGTTGGGCATCATGAAGTCAAAGAAAATTTGGTCCCTTTTTTACTCCTCATGAGCACCTTAATTTATGGTCTAGGAAACAATCATATCAATCACAGAACCAGAGAATGCTGGAGTCAGAAGGGACCTTAGAGGACATCTACTCCAACCACTTTGTTTTAGAGACAAGGAAACTAAGGCCAGGCAAGGTCAAGTGACCTGTTCAAGGCCATACAATTAGTTCATATCAGAACTAGGAGAGAAATTAATTCTCAGCTAAACATCTGGATGTTTCAGTGCTTAGGGAGCAAATGGTACTACTATACCCTGGACTTTTTAGTTACTGTTTCACTGTCTTCCTTTTCTTACTGGGTTGGAGAAACAATAAGTTATGTCAATGACCCAAGGAAACCTTCCCTAAGGGACACTTACTAGCTGTGTGACCCTCAACAAGTCACTTAGCTTCTGTCTGCCTCAGTTACCACATCTGTTGCTGTGACGATCAAACAATATATTTTTAAAGCACTTAGCACAGCGCCAGGCACATAAATGTTTGTTCACTTCCTGTTTTCTCCAGGAGGGTTCTTAATAAAGGATCCATGAGCTCCCAAGAGGTCCATGGCAAGATTACAGGTGGCCTGTGAAATTTTTAACATATACTTTGATATGTTCATTTCAATGTGATGGGTTTCCTTTGTAATCCTACATATTTTATTTTACCCATTTAAAAACATTATTCTGAGAAGGGGTCCATAGGCTTCACCGGATTGTGACAAAGGGGCAAACTAAAGGTTAAGAACCCCAGCTTTTAGAGGCTTGGTCCAGGAACTGGATATTGTCCAAGAACTCTTCCACTACATCCAACGTTCTTGACTTATCTGAACTTCATTGCTCCGTTCCCCCCTTCCCCTTCTTGCTGTGCTATTGCTTGGACATATTCCTGTAACTCCCAGACTAGATCAGGAATTCCTAGCCCATCAACCATTGCCATTTCTGGGACCATGTGACTCACTTCTCACAAGACCATGTGACTCCTTGGAGGTGCTTTGAAGAAGGTTTACTCCAATGAACCAAGTCTGGGCCTCAGGACACAGCCCTTCTCCTATCTGTGTTTCTCATCTCTGGTTCTCTCCAACTCTCTAGCTCCCCTTTTAAAAAACATAATCCAAGGTGTAGCCCATGTTCTCTGAAAATGGTTGGGAATCAGTTAACCACTTGTAATATAGCATCAACGGGCCAGTTAATACCAAGGCAAGGGAAGTTCACTGCCTATTAAGAGGCAACTAGGTAGATAGAGTGTTGAACCTGGAGTCAAGAAAACCTGAGTTTAAATCCTGCCTCAAACACTTATTAGCTGTGTGACTCTGGGCAAGTCACTTAACTGCTCTCTGCCTCAGAATATGGGGATAATAATAGCAACCACCCCCCAGGGCGGTTGTGAAGATCAAAAGCAGTAACATGTACAATACTTTATTGTTGTCATTCAGTCATGTCCAACTCTTCATGGCCCCATTTGGGATTTTCTTGGCAGATACTGGAGTGGTTTGCCATTTCCTTCTCCAGGTCATTTTACAGATGAGGAAACTGAGGAAAGCAGGGTTAATGACTTGCCTAGGGTCATATAGCTAGTAAGTGTCTGAGACTGGATTTTAAGTCAGGAAAACTCATCTTCCTGACTCCAGGCTCAGTGCTCTATCCACTGTGCCACTTAGCTGCTCAGTACAACACTTAGTAAACTCTAAAGTACTATGTAAATGCTAACAATTAGTAAGGAGGTATCATAGCTACGAGAACAAATGCCTAAGTTAACAAGGAGTTAACCTTGACCCAGCTACTCTTGAACACATCCTCTCTAACAATAAGAAGCATTTATTGAGAACCAAATGTGTGCAAAGAAGTGTGTTAGGGTGTTGCAGAGACATTGTGACACTTTAATATCCTTAAAAATATAGGCTCCTTGAGAGCAGGAACTTTTTAATTTCTTCTTCTTCTTCTTCTTCTTCTTCTTCTTCTTCTTCTTCTTCTT